CTGGTACGGGAGTTCTTCACGCCTTCACCCCGGATCACTGCGAGCTGGGAGAAAATAGAAGTGTCCAGGCAATTAACCCATCCCACTATTATCTCCTTCCCAGGACCTGAACCAGCTGCTTTCACAGTTTGGCAAAGGAAGAAGAGAAAGGAGGGGTTTAGATATCAATAATCCCCACTGAGGACAATATCAAAAACAAGAGGAGGGGACTGTCAGAATGCCAGAGTTGGCCTCAGGGCACATTTTTAAATTGCCGCCATGGGCTTTGACTTAGAGCAGATTTCCGAGATGTGGTGTGAAAAGCCACACCCACTGCACTTCAAAAAAAAAAAAAAAAGAAAGAGAAAAGAAGGGTCCTTGGAAAAACTGGCCAGTGTCATATTGTAATGCTTTCTACGTGTTTCTCCATAAAATGACACTTTCCCCTTCTGCTTTCCTTTAAGCGGACAGTGGAAAAGGAGACATTCCTGATTTGTTTAGGATATTTGCTATTCTAGGCAGACATCTGTTTCTTTTTCTCTGACTTTTCCTCGTGTAGGCACGAGTTCCTTGACACCTTGCTTGGCGCCTGCTGTCCTGTCCCTCTGTTCCTTGGTGACACTTCTAAAAGCTATGTTTCAGGTGATGTTCTGCCACCTCAAAGCAAAAGGTGTGCCACCTTCCCCCCAGGTGTCCCTCCTGTGGGACCCCATTTACAGCCAGCCAGCTTGTAGTCATCCCAGCACAGGAGAAAACACCCCATAATTTTATTTTTGAGAAAACTGTAAAGGACAAAAATATAAACTATTAACTATGACATTTGCCATAAGTTTCTCAAAAATACCTTTTATCAAGTGAAGGAGGTTCCCTTCTAGGTCTAGTTTGCTATTTTTTGAATTTTGCCTGCAGCCATGTTACTAATGTTATCAGTGTGGAAAATTATACACGCAGAGATTCTAGTGTTGATTATCCTTGAGTAAGGCCCGTTTTGTCAGTTTATATGTATAGATTAATAAACTGCTGGATTCCATTTGCTGATATTTTATTTGGGCTTTCTGCCATTATATTTATAATTAGGAATGGTGTATAATTTAATTTTTCTTAACTGGCTTAGATTTTGACAATCACCATAATACCCTCTTCTTCACGTGACTTGGCCAGATATTTTTAAAATATCACAGGGAAAAATTGAATCTTCATCCACCACAATAAAAAGTCAATAGATAAAGTCTAATACTAATTAGTCACAAAATAGCAGTATAAGAATTATTAAAAAACAAGAAGGTAAATACCAGAAGAAACATCTGAAGAGATTGAAAGTGGTTGGCTCCAGGGAAGAGAACAATAAATTGGAAAGTGTTTGCTTTTGTTTTGTTTGTGAAAATAATCCTTTTAGTATTACTCTTTAAACTAAGACTGTAAAACCATATTACAGTCTCTTAAACCATTTTCATCAAACATGTATTACTTGGATAAAAATTAAAGAAAAAATGTAGGTCCAACAAATACTCAGAGACATTTACGGTGCAGGATCTATTTTGAAATCCATGACATCATCTCTTAGGTTTCATTTCTCCCTTGTTTGGTCTGGAGTTTTTCCCCTAGGGGAACACATATAGAAGTCACAAGTTGTCCAAGCTTTTCCCTTCTAGTCTATTTTGCATTTCCCTGTCTCTGAAGACATGAGGGCTCTTCCCCTCCCACCCCATTGCATGCCAAAATATCGGCTTTCCACCAAGCAAATGTTGGAAGACATTTTTTAACCCTCCACTAGAAAGCATGCAAGCACATCATCTTTAAATACCCTTTGAAGGACTTCTGGTCTGGTGACAGAATTCTGTAGCGGTCAAGCACTAGTGCCTTTTTGGCACCTGGTTGCTGTGAGATCCCATGGCCTTGCCTGGACGACCGTGGTGGGGTTGGAGGGATCCTTGAGTGTGGATGCCATCACGGCACGCCCTACACCCAGTCTGGGTCCACCATCAGCTGTTCCATTTCAAGGCTGACTCTGGAGAGGACAGTGTATCTGCCACTTACTTGTAGGATAATCATTTTAACGCAGAATTCAGATTGGTGGAAAGTAACCTGAAAGCAGATCATGGCAAAAGGTGTTCTTTTTGGGTTATTATTATAGTTGCTCACATTGGAAACTGAGTCCCCATTTTTTTCCTGTTAAAACAGTATAAGTTTTAGTTTTGTGGGATTTTTTTTAAAAGAATGTTGCTTTTTTTTTTGCATATTTGTTTTACTTTGTGACTAAGCTGGGAGGAGGTTACATTTTCTCTAAATTAAAGTTCGTGCATTTAATTGGCATTTCCAAGGCATTAGAGCAGGCTGCCGCTCCCAATACTCTGTTGTCTTGCTGGTATGGACAAAATTTTTTTTACAATAGAATGTACCACATTTATTTAATCAATGACTGTGATGATTATGTAAAAATAAGAAGAATAGTTAAATGGGAAAATGTCATCAAATATCAGGCAAAGTTTGATTAAAATTATTAAATATACACAGATACATGTGCACACAAAATATTAGAAGGAAACTTGCAAACACTAATAGTTACGCTACTTCTGTGTTTGATGTTGAGCATACTTTTTATTATTTACCTTTCTCTTCAAACTTTTCCGTAATATGCCTATTTCTGCCTTTATGGTAAAACCTATTTAAAAGAAAAACCATAATGTCTGAATTAGGCAAGAATAACTGACACAATCATTCATTTCTTACAATATTTCAAACTTTTTCACTGTTATTATGTCTGTTATGGTGATCTGTGATCAGTGCTCTTTGATGTTACTATTGTCATTGTTTGGGAGCACCAGAAACTGTGCCCGCAGAAGACAGAAAATTTATTTGAATTACCAAAACGTGACCCAGAGACACGAAGTCAGCACAGGCCATTGGAAAATGCTGGATGCAGCATTGCCACACGCCTTCAATTTGTAAGAAACACAGTCCCTGTGGGGTGTAAGAAAATGAGACATGCCTGCATACTGATGCAGGGCAACAGTGAGAAGGCTTTAATTTAAAAAAAAAGAGGACCAATTTCCTGGATTAAGGCAAGTGGTGGGGAAGGGGAGAGAAAGAAAAGCAGTGGCAGACGTTTCTGTACTTGACTGTATCTGAAGGAGAGTCATCCAGGTAAACCCCAGATTTGGACAATCGGGTGAGTGGTCACACCATGGTACTTTCCTCTTGGCACGTGGTTGCCACTTGCTATCATCGTACAATTAAGGGCTTCTCGGTAAGGTGTGCTCATGGGCACCACTACTATTAGACAGGGTGAGGCTGAACGGCTGGCATAGAGCTCACAGCCGGTTTCTCCAAACTAGGTCCCTGAAGCGCTGGTTGGCAAGCGTTAATAGATACCCTGTAGGGGGAGAGACACTTACTAATCCAAAACTTTTCATGTGGAAACATGAACTGCTCTACCCGCCATTGGAGAGTTTCAGTGGAAACTAGCGTGCTATAGGCTCACAGTAAAGAAACGGCTATACTTTCTTTAACTCAGATTTCCCCAGAGCTACTTGAGTTTAGAACCTGAGATGTGCTGGTAAATGTTTACCTGCTGCCTCCGGTGGGGCCGAGGTGGTGGGAGAGCATCAGAGGTGTGAAGAGACACAGAGGAAGTAGGAAATTATCATCTTGAAGAGCAGGACAGCAGACTTACTAGGGCAGTTTGATAGGATTTCTAGGTAGTTTTGAGTCACCCTTGGAGATGTGAGGTCACGTTTAAAATGAGACCAGCCAGCAACAGTGATGCTGTTTTCTCCAGCAAGAGTCAGCTACCTGGTTTCAGGAGCAGAGAAGACAGGAGCTGGGTTAAACCAGGATTACAGCTTTTTCAAGGGAGAATGACAGCAGGAAAGAGCCTGAGGGCATTAGGAATCTGTGCACTCCCCCGGGGTAAGGAGGGAATAAGCAAATGAGGGTGTGACGATAATGGAGAAGCGATGGAGCCGTTGGGTTTGGAGGTCTTGAGCTATCAGAAGACCCTCGGAGTTTGGAGTTCCAGAGTACGTACATAAATGGAGAGAAAAGATGGCGGTAGAGTCAAGATCTTGAAGATGGGGCACTTACCGGTAGCAATAAGGACCAGGGTGTGGCTGTGTTGGTGGATGATTGAGGCGGGGCAGGGGACGAAATTATTGCCAGTGAGAAGGTCAAGGTGCTGAGGAGGTCATGGGTCATGGCTCATGCCCACGACACTCAAGATGGCAGTGGATGTAGGATGGACAAGCAGGACAATTGAGGCAGGCGCTAATAATCCTCAAGGGCTTAGGAGAAGGACAAGGGATTCCACAGATGACAGCAACAGCAGGGACAGTGAGTGGTAAGGTGGGGTGGCATGAGCTTCAAAGGAGCTGGGAGTATAGAAGAAAACAAGTGTTTTAAAAATAGCAGAGACGCTCATCCCACCTTCTGACTTTGAGATGATGCGGAACATCAGAGGAAAACATCCTCTACTTAGGGAGCTACAGGGAGGCTTCACAGAACGGCTGGCTGCAATTTAGGACCAGAAGGTAAAGGAAGCTTCCAAGAGTTGGCTGGTGAGGCCTGTGTGCCAGGGGGCACAGTGGGAGGGTTTAGGGGCCGCGGAGGGGTGGGGGCAGGCTGAGCAAGAGGACCTCTGGAGTTCATGGGGTGAGGGCCATCGGATGATGGAGCCGCAGGAGGTGAGGCAGGACAGGCCCAGTGCTGACGGAGGACGAGTCCAGCAAAATTAAAGGAGGCCTCTCTCTGCTGTGGGTGAAACACAGGCAGGCAATGCTGTGCTTAGCCCTCCCCTGCTGGGGACGGCTCCTCAGAGGCCTTGCTTCCCACAGCAAGCCGGGCGTGCCCACGTATGTCAGCGTCCGGCACCGGGTGGCCATCACGTGGGGGCAGCGCAGCCACGAAATTTCCATCTCGACTGAGAGTCCTATTAGGAGGCGCTGAGCTAGACCATTAATAGAGCTCTTACGTGGTCCCCTTCTAAAGCCTGTGTTTGTCCCCGTCGCTACAGAAGCCACCAGCGACCATGGCGCAGTACAAGGGCACCATGCACGAGGCCGGCCGGGCCATGCACCTGATCAAGAAGCGCGAGAAGCAGAAGGAGCAGATGCAGGTGCTGCGGCGGCGCATCGCCGAGGAGACCCTCCTGAAGTCGAAGGTGGACAAGAAGTTCTCGGCTCACTACGACGCCGTGGAGGCCGAGCTGAAGTCGAGCACGGTGGGCCTGCTGACCCTGAACGACATGAAGGCCAAGCAGGAGGCCGTGCTGCGCGAGCGCGCGAGGCGGCGGGCCAGGAGGGAGCAGCTGGAGGAGCGCCGGCTGCGGCTGCAGAGGCTGCGCGACGAGGAGCGCCGGCGCGAGCGGAAGCGCAAGATCTCGCGTCTGTCCTTCTCGCTGGACGACAACGACGACCAGGGTGGCGAGGCCGGGGCCGGCAAGAGCCAGAGAAACCTGGGCAAGAATCCCGACGTGGACACCAGCTTCCTGCCGGACCGCGCCCGGGAGGAGGCGGAGAACCGGCTCCGGGAGGAGCTGCGCGGGCAGTGGGAGGCCAGGCGCGAGAAGGTGAAGGCCGAGGAGGTGGAGGTCACCTTCAGCTACTGGGACGGCTCGGGCCACCGCCGCACGGCGCGCATGACCAAGGGCAGCACGGTGCAGCAGTTCCTGAGGACCGCGCTGCAGGGGCTGCGCAAGGACGTCCCCGAGCTGCGCTCGGCCGGCGTGGAGCAGCTCATGTTCGTCAAAGAGGACCTCATCCTGCCGCACTACCACACCTTCTACGACTTCATCGTCGCCAGGGCCAGGGGCAAGAGCGGGCCGCTGTTCAGCTTCGACGTGCACGACGACGTGCGGCTGCTCAGCGACGCCACCATGGAGAAGGACGAGTCGCACGCGGGCAAGGTGGTGCTGAGGAGCTGGTACGAGAAGAACAAGCACATCTTCCCCGCCAGCCGCTGGGAGCCCTACGACCCCGAGAAGAAGTGGGACAAGTACACCATCCGGTGACGCCCGCTGCACCGCCCCGGCGTCCTCCGCCCTCGCCAGGGAGTGACTCACCAGAATAGGAAGTGGGGGCGGGGGGAAGTACCCAGACTTCTGTGCCCCGTCATTTCTAACTTAACTTGGTGACCCCGATTTCTTTCCTGAAATTTAAATAAAGACAGAGGGTTTGCATCATCCAGATTTGGTCATTCTATCGCTTGTTGTAATGTTGCTGTGTGCATTCGTTGAATCACTCTGCTGAGCTGTAGTGAAACCATGACAGGGTAGCAATGGGACAGAAACTAGAATAAGGGGCACATTTTGACCTAGTGGTTCCGAGCATAGTCTTTGGAGCCACACTGACTGAGTTTATAGCGCTCCGCTCAGCTTCTACTCGCTGTGTAGTTTGGGGCAAGCTCATTAACCGGTGCCTCAGGCTCCTCCCTGTGCAGAGGAAATCATGAGAGCACCTACAGAGAGATGTGAGGATTCAATGAGTTAGTATTCGTAAAGTACTTAGAGCTCAATAAATGCCTGCTATTATTAGTCTCACAGTCTTGGTTAATTTATTTAAAGGACTGCTATGATCCAGTTCAGAACCTTCTCAGGGCGAGGGCGGACCTGCCCGTCACTGGCCTACACACGTGGGGAGCAGCCCCGCCTCCGTGTTCCCTGGCTGGGCTGTCTAGCCCTGGAGGTCAGGAGGACCGAAAGCCAGTGGGTGTAGCCTACGGGATCAGTATTACTGATTTTCCTTTTGCAGAAAGCTCCCACGTGGTTTCACATGGCACTGTTACAGATCTCGTCTTCATTTGGAAACGCTTATATTTTATTCACTATGTATACTTTGTGTTTTTAAAAAATATTGATTTTGAAAAATACTGTGCTAAAATATTATTTATCTTGATTACTGAGTTTTGGGATGCCATCTTCCCCTTAACCCTAACGTCCAAGGCAGGTTCCTTACTCACTTACTTCAGTCCTGGCTCTGAGCGTAGGACGGACACTTCTTCAAGTCCTTGCCTCATCCCTTAAACAAGAACTTCCACCAGATCATCGGCCCTCTAGGGCCATGGGTCGCAGCCCCTGCTGTCCCTTAGGGTCATCAGGGAAGCTTTTAAACCTCCCAATTCCCAGGCCACACCCAGAGCCAGATCTCAAGGGGCGGGATGTAGACGTCAGTATGTTTGGAGCTTCTCCACGCATTCGACGTGCAGTCAGATTGGAGAACAAATGCTCTAGGGTTGCCTTCTCTGCACCTCTAACTAACTCCTCCTCCCGAGTTTCCATGCAACAAGCATTTGAGCCACGGCCCAGGACAGGCTTTTGGCTCTGAATCACTGCAATGGGTGTGAAGTAGAGCCTTCTTACCCAAAGTGAGACCCTTGGACCAGCGGCATCAGCACTTGGGAGACTGTTAGAAAAGCAGAATCCCAGGCCCACCTCAGACCTTCTGAATTGGAATGTGTGACCAACAAGGTCCCCAGGCGATTCACATGCACACTAAGGTTTAAGGAACCTCTGGCTGGCTAGACGTCTGTCTGCACTTCCAACACAGCAGCTCAGGACCTAAACTTGAGGGGAGTTAACAGTAGAATGCCACCTCTTTGGTTGCATGCTCAAGCCATATTCTCCAATCCAGTTTTAACATAGAAGTTGGTATGCTGACCATGGTCTAACTCCTGCATCTATTCCTTAATCGCTTTGATATTACTTACACTTAGGTTCCACTGCACATCACAAAAAACCCAAAGTAACTGTGGCTTAAACAAGCCTATTTCTCTGCATCATAAAAGTCTAGAGGTAAGTCTACCATAGCATCAAGGACCCAGGCTGCTTCTTTCTTGCTGTTTCATCATATGTGGCTTCCATATATGCATGGTTAACTTCATAATCCAAGATGGCATCCCCAGCTCTAACCATCACATCCACATCCCCGGAAGCAGAAAGAAGGTAAAAGGAGAAAGAAAATTCAAAAGGCTTTAAACGACGGTCTCTTAAGAAGGAATCCTGTAAACCGGAAAACAATATCTTGGTTTAGATCCCATTTGCCAGAACTTCGTTACCTGGCCACACCTAGCTGCAAGGGATGCTGGAAGATGTAGTCTTTATTCTGAGAAGCCAAGTTCTATTACTATGGGGAAAAAAATGGAGAGCAGAACTTGGGAGATAAAGAGTTTCTGAAATAATCTACCCCTTTTGCCACCAAAATATCAAGTGTAGCCTTCCCCTACACTTAGTACACTCAGCCCTAATGCAAACGAAACCATCACAAGTTCCCCAGTAGTTACTTCTATTATAGCTCGCGTAGGTCTCTGGGTGATGTACAGGCCTCTTCTTCAAGTCTGGGTGTGGCTCTTTTTCACCCAGCTACTTACATACTAAAGGACAAGTAATCTGCCCTCTCACATACCTAATATGCAATGGTGGGACAAATAAATAAAATCATTACAGAAAGGGAAGGCAAAACACCAGCAATAGCCAGTTCTCTGGCCATTATCAAATCCTGCTGGGAGGTATCGCAGAGACTGTCTGCCTTGGAGGTATCCTTGCACGTGAAGTGCTGGATCCACTGTCTGGAAAGAACTCCCTTGCTCTTCGTCCTGCATGCCCCCCAGTATTGTCTTCCTCGTTCTCCGTGACCATGTCCGAGCCCCATGTGGCAGGGCAAGGGCTGCTGGTCTTCTGCTGCCTGCTCCCTGCTGATGTAGATGTGGGGCCCAGAGATTGCTTTAGTAGATTTTTCAGGCTAGACTAGTAGTGTTTTTGGCAATTCCATTCCCTCAAAAGATTAGATGGCTTTTAGTCAGTTCTGTGTGCAATTAAACCCACCCAAAGTTATTTTCTAGACATGGCATTTGAATATGAAATTCTAGTCTTTACTTACTTTACCCCATTAATTCCTCTCCAGCTCAGTGGAGCACTCAGGATCAATCTTACCTCTTGCTAATGTTGTAGCTTTGATGCCACTAATGGTAACTTCAGCTGGGCATAGCGAAGCACTTGGCTTTTCATGCCACACAGGGGTCCAGACTTAGACCAAGGACTTCAGGCAGCAACCTCACGGGGCAAGGCTGTCCTCCAGCACTGCCGGCAGACGGGATAGCTCACACTTGCAGCCTTGTCACTCAGGACTCTGCTGGAAGCAGGGCAACAGCCAACACACACCAACCTTCCAAAACGTTCCTAAGATTTCCCTACTGGTACAGCCATGGCAGGCACACGGCCCGCCTTCCGTGGGCAGCAGGAGACAGTGTGACTGGACATGCTGGGCATGACACCCAGGGGAAGAGGGTGTCAAGTGCATCCTCAGACCCCCACCTGTGCCAGAGTGCTTACTCGATACGCCATATTTCACCCAGCCATCACAGCAATATCCTGAGGTTGTTGGCATTATTTTTCTGATGAAGAAATTGAGTCTTAGAGGGTCTAAGTCATGGGGACAGGGTCACACAATGTGGGAACTTGGATTTTGTGATATAATAAGTACTATTAATCTATTTGGTCTTTGTCCTCAGTTCCTGGTGCAGAGCTCCTAAACTCCTTGGAATTTCCTGAGTGATAGGAGTATTTTTTTTTATTCACAATGAGCCCCTTCCAATCACACCTAGGTTTATGCTAATGAGGTGACTTTGGGTAGGGCCCCTAGTTAGCTTCAGAATGGGGTTCACACACCCAAAAGATCAAGTTATTAGAGGGGTGGAACTTCTAGCCCCACCCCTGACCTCTGGGAAGGTGGGAGTAGGTGGCAGCTGGAGATTAAACTCTATAAAAACTCTTGAACAACAAGATTTGATGAGCTTCCAGGTTGTGAATGCATCCACGGTTGGGGCACTCCAACTCCAAGGGGAATAGACACTCTGTGCTCAGGACCCTTCTGGACCTTTCCCTGTGTACCTCTTCATCTATGTCCTTTGTAATATCCTTTAAAATAAACCAGGAAATGTAAGTTCAGTGTTTTCCTGAGTTCTCTGAGCTGCTCTAGGAACCCCCAATTTGTAACCAGCTGGTCAGAAGTACAGAAGGCTCGGATTGGTGTCTGAAGCGGGGCAGTCTTGTGGGACTGAGCCCTTATCTTATAGGATCTGGTGCTACCTCCAGGCAGGTGGTGTTGGAATTGAACTGAATTGTAGGATACCCAGCTGGTGTTGAAGAATTAATTAGAATGGAAAAAAATCTCACACATCTGGTGTCAGATGTGTTCTGTGTGAGAGTGTACACAAACCTTATGTTTTCTTAGAGATTTGAACCCCAATCTGTTTGCCTCCAGTGCCTGTGGTTTCCTGTTGATTGTCGTTCCGCGTTTACTCAGTTAAGCGTGCACGTTGTGTAAAGATACAGTTCCACGAGGCTCCTGAGAAGAACAGCACTCTCCTTCCCTCCCTCTCTCTCCCGGTTCCCTAGGGGTGACTACTTTTTAGTAGATTCTCTTGAAATTTACCTCTGCATCTCTAAACAGCATGTGTATCTTGCTAAGACTTTTTGGGATTCTCTACTGGCTTCCTATTGTGATGACAGGATCTGGCTCTCTCCCGCCACTGCTCCATCCACCCACCGCAAGTCTGCGTGCTCCCCACCCCATCCTGTCAACATAAGTAAATATCCATGTGTTTGCAATACTACGATCAGATAAATGCTGCACAATATGTTACGAACAATCTTCTGTCTTCCTGAAGTTAATAATTTTCTTGTTTTCTGTTTTGATTGAATTTTCACCTCCTCGATATTAAATCAACTTCAAACTTCCCATCAATTGTCTTAATCCCCTCTCAATATTAAAGTCCTTGGTGCACTAATCATAATTTTAAAAATGTCCTGGTCTGACAGTATAAACATTCCTGCCATACCTGACTCTTGCTCAGTCTCTTCATGCTTGGTTTTTGCCTTTCTGTATGCCTTGTAATTTTTTGTCGAAAGCTGGACGTGATGTCCTGGGTGAAAAACCTGCTATAAATGGGCCATTAGTGAGGTGAGATGTGGGGCGGGGGAGCCCACTACAGCCCTGTGATCGGGTCGCGGTGTTTCAGTGAG